TTATGGATTTCCCTCGACCTCTTCCCCATAGGTTATCACCATCAAGCAATACTTTGGAAAACAACCTCGGTTAGGTCGAACATCTCATATGGATTTCCCTCGATCTCTTCCACCCGATTTGATGCCATCAAACAGTGCTTTGGCAAACAACCTCGAACAATTTGATCATCCTGTATTGATTTCTCTCAACCTCTTAAAGTCATCGAGCAATGCTTAGACAAACAATCCAGTCTTGAAGGAAAGATAGTAGTAGATAAGGTCCTCACTAGAAAGATCTAATGAAAGTGGCATATAATGTCTTCACATATAACCAAGGATGGTCTGACTTTAAGATTGCCTCGAAGTGAAGCTAACAATATACAATGTCCTTAATAAAAAGACTCCATAAAAGAAAGTGGTTGACATGTTCACCACTCACTCAAAGACCTTAGAAAGCTAAAAGCCTCAAAAGGCACATGAACACAAAAGACCTTAGAAGACTAAAAGTATCAAAAGGCACATGTACATCAAAATCTCATAAGGCTAAAAGCCTCAGAAGATTTGTATTTCCTAAATTATTTAAAAATCTCATAAGACTAAAAACTGCAAAATGGATAACTTTCTTTAATCTAGTTTCTCTAACTGGATGACAATATATTAAAACATATTTCAAAGATGCATAAATGAATTAGTTTTTTTTTAGAGCGTAAGTTCATAAATTAGAAGTATACTTGCACAAAATAGAGCAATCATTACTTCAAATTAATTAAAAACAAGCATCAAGCTCATATAAACATCTCAAATCAATATATAATGTATAACTATACATTAGATTCAAACATACATTTGACTTCATTTAATACAAGAATTTGAAAATAAATAAGATTGTATTGCTTTCATCAACATCTTGTATAATGTAATCCAAGCAGGAGGGCACGTGCCTAGCTGAACCTTTTTGGGCAAAGATCATCATGCCATTCAAAACATAAAACTTATTATAAATCATCATCAAATCATCAGGCCTACACTAATTTTATACTATGAGTGTGTCGTTAAATTTTACAATTGATACAATTGTACGTATGAGTTTGGTATTCTGATCCTTGCAGTGAAATCATATTTGTCAAACAAAATTGTGAAATTATTGTCATTGATTAATTGAGAAATGGCGAGAAGTTTATGTGTGAGATTAGGGACATGAAATAGAGGATTAAGAAGTAGCTTACAAGAGGGAGTGAGGAGTAAGCCTTTGCAGGAGTTAAGTATGGGAAGTTTCGAACAAGCACTTAATCTGTGCTATAATACGTAGTGGACTGTTGGAGAGAATAATGATCTGGAGTCAGATGGGCAGTGGCATCGCTATCCAAATACCGAGGAGAATTAGTTGAATCATCGAACAATGCAACATTTGAAGCTGTCGAGGATGGTAAATACTATATATTAGTTTGATGCTAGGAGGAAAGCGCCGAGTGACCACATTTACCACAAAATTTGATATTATATCCTTTATAAGCTATTGGTGGTTTGGTGTACATCGAAGATGTTATCCTCTATATTTTGAATGGCCTCCCTCCCTCCCATCAAGCCTTCAAGGTGGCGATTCAGACCAAGCTCACACCCATTAGCCTTGATGATTTGTACTCTCTTTTTTGTAGTGAAGAAGTCAATCAAGCCACTGATGCTCTCAAAGAACTCAACATTACTCACAATGTCGACCCACAATTTTCTCTTATTTTGAATCGCGGTCGTGGTCATGGCCACCTCTATAATTATCGTGGGTGAGGTAGGCTCAATTATTCCGCAGCTTCTCCCTCCCGCCCTAAGTAACCTCGGTTCACAGGAGACTATCAAATTTGTAGTAAATGTGGTCACTCGACGCTTACCTGTTGTCATCGAACTAATCTATAGTATTCACCAGCCTCTACAGCTTCAAATGTTGCTTTGGTCGCTAATTCAATTAATTCTCCTTGGTATTTTGATAGCGATGCAACTACCCATCAATGTTCTTTATGCACTTTGAAATATGTTTTAATATATTGTCATGCATTTAGAAAAACTAGATTAAAGGAATTTATCCATTTTGAAGCTTTTAGTCTTATAAGGTTTTTAAATAATTAAAGAAATATATATCTTATTAGGCTTTTAGCCTTTTGAGATTAAAGGAAATCAAACATCTAAAACGAAATGTGAAAAGTTGATATTTTGATTGAAAAACCACAAAGTATAACTAATCAATGCATGCATAGAAAGAAACGTAGAATCATCATGCAAGGATATTTAGCATATATTAAAGATATAGTGTTGCTAAAAGAAGCAGGCCAGCATGAAAAACTAATAATTTCACTATATAGAATGAATCACTCTGATCGCTTATGGAAGAGAATCATATTTTTTATTATTATTTTTATTTTTTTTATTATTTTTTTTATGGAAGAGAATCATATAAGTATTAAGGTATGTAGAACTTTAAATTCAATCAATGTAGCTATAATTTTACATTGTTATCACCTGCTAATTCTAGGAATGCTGATAAATAATAACCTCAATGAAAGTTGAAAAAAATAAAGTATGTCTCAGCCAAAGGTCAATTTTGAGAATCAACTAATTTTTTTAAAATTAGTATCGCAAACTCAAGGTACATGTTATGATGTTAACTGAGAATAGAAAATGATTTAGACTATCATGTCAATAAAGAAATCATTCTTGGTGAATTACACCTGTGGATTATCCATGAAGTATTCTAATGAACCCTTACGCACTCCATTGCATGTTATCATAACTTTGGATATGCATTCCATGATCCTTTGGGATAGAGAATATGAAGAAAAACTAGTAAATACAACATGAAGAGAGAAACCATTAACAAGATAACCTAACATCACAATATTCAACATAAGAAATTTGAAAAAAAAGGGACAAGGTTAGAAAAATACCAAATGCACAACACTAATTTGGGCACAAGCCAAAGTGCACTTTATTTTATTGCACATGCATAAAGTGCATGTTGTTACAATTTAAAAAAATATATATATCATTATAAGAATATTAACATTATTGTATGAATTTTTTTTTTAGTAAAATTTATGGTTGCCTAATTGACAGTGACAAAGAAGTATAAAAAATTTAATGCTAAATTTATCAATCCAAATCCAATTTTATAATAAAAAATAAAAAATATATAAAATAGCACATAATCCTAGAGAATATATTTAATGTGATTTATATAAATAAGTTTGTGCTAACATGAATATGAAGAGTTAAGAAATGAAAATCACAAAAAATAATATGAATAAAAGAAGAAAAAAAATGAAAGAACTAATTTTATATCCATATTTAAGTAGAGTAATCAAAATTCAAATAAAGGATGATAATTTGAGTAGTTCAAAGTTGGCTGGTAGATCAAAATAAATATATAAAATTAAGAACCATCGATAAACAAATTTAAACCTTCTTACAATTGTATTTAAGGCAACATAAACCGTGCATATAAAGTATGAGTATAAAGATATAAGATTCACAAGGATGAACTGTTCAAACTAATTATATTATATTTTTTTTTATTATTCAATATGATTAATTTCATCACAATCTTTCTTAATTTATTGCTTCAACTACTAGCAAATAGAACATTTGGTTGTCAAAGAAATTACAAAAATTTGAGTTTGATTCAAATTTACTTGTTGAAAGTTCAGCACATCTTGCTTAGCCATTCCATCAAATTCCTATCGTGCACAAAACATCTATAATATCATTAGAATTTAGAATAATTCCTATTTCTATATCAAATGCCATAATTAAAGATATTGGATTCATAGTAAGTGCATTTACTTAAATTAAAGAGAGATTTTTACACAACTTAGAATGTCATGATTGTAGAAGCAATGAAGACTTCGAAAAATAGAGAAATAAGGAATTGCACCAAACATAAGTTTCCTTCAAACTTGTCATGATTCGATGTACCTACTGATCCCCAATACCGTGAACATCGAGTACATTTTATGAGCATAAAGATTGTCGCTAATGCCACGATGAAGACATCTGCTTTGATGTTGATGTAGGAATGCATGGTAGTGATGAAGTTGATGAGCTTCTTGGCGGACTTAAAGCAAATAGTGATCCAATGGGAGTTGATGTGGTAACGGATCTCACTTGGTTTGTGCAAGCTTGGCAATGAAGGCTGCATAGAGAAAGAGAGATAGAGAGATAGAAAGGGAGATAACGACAGAGTTATATATGCATGTGAGAGAGAACTAAAGCAGTAAAAGCTGAAGTTATAGCTTCAAAGAAAAAACATTAGCATTTCATAAGTTAGATGTTGATGAAGTGCAAGTGCTTCGATTTCATAAACTTATAATTATTTAATTGTTTAATGATATTACATTAGGTGGAGAGAGAAAAGGACATATGAGATTGAAATGAAAGAAGACAAATGGAAAAATCAAGGTTACAACTCAACATATAATAGTTATGCTGAAAATTAAGATGAAACGTTTCACATAAATCCGATTAACAACTCAATCATTACAGTGATGTATGAAGAAGATGAAGCATTTCACATGCAAATAAGAAGCTGAAAGTATCAAGGTCAGATGAGAACCCAAATACCAATCACCTTTACCTAAATAAATAAATTTCAAATCCATGCATTACAACCAATAAGACAAATGAATAGAATTGATGCAACCCCATATCGGAGACCATAGGCGACTAACCTGCAAAAGAACTTGAAAACAATGCAAGCCAATGGAACAGGGACCCCAGGAGAATTCCACGCTTGGGATGAGCTTCTGTTGAAGAGGAACTTAAAGTTCTGTAAAAACAAAGAGTCTACCCTTTCCTGGCTTCCTTCGGTAGTATATAAATTTTCCTATTTCTAATAACTATGAAAATACTAAAATTAGCCTAACAACAAAAAAATGTGAAATAGTACTGTAGATAACTGAATAGGGAAAAAGTGATATCGTGAGTGGCTGCCATATAACGGAATGTGGGGAATTGGCATTGTCATGCCATGCACTGCATCAGTCCTCCCCGGCTTCGGAAGAGCTCAACTCTGACGAGCTTATGATGATTGCGAAATCATCGGGTGGGTGATATTGCCACAAGTCAGAAATATTGAAGGTGGGGGATGTGATGTAGCCGGGTGATAGCTCAACGGTGTAGGCATTGTCGTTGATTTTGGAAACAATGGGAACTGGACCAATTTTGCGGCGACTCAGTTTAGAATAAGTGCTAGGGGGAAACCTTTCCCGGCGAAGGCGCACCATGACCAGTTCGCCTACATTGAACAAACTCTGTCGACGGTGAAGATCGGCGGAGGATTTGTACTTCAGATTTTCTTTTGTTAACTGTTGGTGAACATCAACCATCATTTTGGAATATTGATTTGTAAAGTGTGTAGCAGCTCTAGATTTGCATTTGGGAAGAATAGCTACATCCAATGCAAGGTTGGGGAGTTTAGTATAAACAATGCTAAAGAGGGTCTTATCAGTGGAGCGGTTCACCATAGAGTTATATGTGAATTCAGCCATGGTTAGCACATCATCCCATTATTTCGGGTAATCCTGTACAAGGCAGCGGAGCAAGCTCCCCAAGGTGCGATTGATTACCTCCGTTTGTTCGTCGGATTGGGGGTGATAGGCTGAGCTTAGGTGCAAGTCGGTGCCCAATCTCTTCCATAATTCACGCCAGAAATGGCTAATAAACTTGACGTCCCTGTCCGAGGTGAGGCTCCTTAGGACGTCGTGAAGTCGCATAATTTGATGAAAGAAAAGATGGGCAATTTGAAGAGCATTCAACATCTTATTACAATAAATGAAGTGAGCCATCTTTGAAAAATGATCGACGACTGCCATACTCGAATCGTTACCTTTCTTTGTGCGGGGTAGTTCGAGGATGAAGTCCAAGCTAAAATCTTCCTAGATGGAATCGGGGATGGGTAGGGGTAAATAAAGGCCCGAATTTTGTGCACCTCCCCTGTAGCTTTGACAAATAGAGCAATGGTCGACAAACCGAAAGACATCACGGCGTTGACGCGGCCAATAGAATCTTTACTTGAGCCAGGGATTTGTCACGGCCTATGTGAGCGGCAAGAGCTCAGCAATGTTCTTCCCGAATGATATGCTGTCGCCAAGAAGAAAAAGGAACACATAATAGGTTTTCGTGAAAAAGAAAACCGTGGAGGATGCAATACCCTGAAACTGTCTGGCCTTGCTGTCATTGAGCCTAGATAATACCGAAATCAGGGTCAGCAGCATAGAGTTGTTGAATGGAGGTCAAACCAGTGAATTCTATTTGGAGTTGAGTGAGCAACAAATTCTTTCAGCTGAGGGCATCCGCAACTGTATTATGCTTTCCTGGTTGATGTTTAAGGAGGAATGAAAACTTTTGGAGAAAAGAGATCCATCGAGCATGCATCCGATTCACATATTTTTGGCTATTTATAAATTTTAAAGTTCTGTTGTCTGTACATATCACAAATTCTTGATGTAAGTTACAATGTTCCCATTCCTTAAGATCTTGGATAATGGAGTAGAGATCTTGCTCATAAGCGGACCATCGTTGTCACGACGTACATAACTTCTCATTGAAAAATGCCACGGGTTGACTCTCTTGTGACAGAACAGCACCAATGCCAATCCCAGACGCGTCGATCTCCATAGTGAACAGCTTGTCAAAATAGGGGATGGCCAGGACCGGAGCCGTGGTTAGCGCCCCTTTGATAGCGTCAAAGCCGTGTTACTGCTGATCACCCCAGTGGAATGTATTTAATTTTAAGTAGTCTGTAATTAGACTCATGATAACACTGAATCTTTTTATGAATTTTTGATAAAAGTTAGCAATGCCATGAAAACTCCTAACTTCGAAGAAGGAGCACGGGACAGGCCAATTTAAAATGGCCTCAACCTTACTCGGATTCATATGAACACCATCCCTGAATATCACAAAATCAAGAAAAATAACACGGGAGGTGGCGAACTCACACTTCGAAAGGTTAAGAAACAATTGATTGTCTCATAATATGATAAAGCGCTGTCAGAGGTGATCAAGATGACCTTCCACGGTGTCGCTGTAAACAAGGATATCGTCGAAATATGAAATACAAAACTTTCCCCAAACAGGTATAAGTATATCTTGCATCACCCTCATGAATGTAGAAGGATCATTGCATAAACAAAATGGCATTGCATAAACAAAATGGCATTGCAAAAGTCCGAACGGAGTTTTGAAGGCCGTCTTCCATTCGTCGTCTGGCCAGATATGGATTTGGTGATAGCCACTGCACAAGTCTAGCTTGGAAAATACTGAAGCCCAGACCAATTTATCAATGCGCTCATCAATTCTCAGCCTAGGGAAACAATACTTAACCGTTATTTTATTGATGGATCGACTATCTACACACAGTCGCCACTCACTGTTCTTCTTAGGAACAAGCAAGGCTGGGATGGCACAGGGACTGATGCTGGCCTGGATAAACTATTTACTTAATATCTCTTCAATAATTCCCTGCATAATTTGTTGCTCTACCAGATTGAGCAGGTAACGAGGCAGGTTCAGTAAGGATGCATTTGGAAGGAGATCAATTTGATGTTGAATTTTGCGTAATGGGGGGAGAATGGTAAGGAGTTCTTGAGGGCATAAATCTTTGAATTCTTCAAGTAATTCTAAAATGATGGCAGGAGTTTGGGCAGTCGACGAACTTGTGGAGTCGGTAACTACAAGCGCCCACAAGGTAGAAGAATCTTGCCAACTCAATAACAAAGTTGGATCTGAGACTATCTGCATCACAGAAGCAAGCGTGGCGTTGGGAGTGGGCTACTTGCCATCATGGGCGCCTCGTAGCAATTGGAGGTGTTTACCCTTCCACTCCAAAGAATACGCGTTGGCTCAACCTTCATACATAACACCAGCATCAAACTGCCATGGTCGGCGAAGGATTAGGTGACAGACATCCATGTCCAGTACATCACATAACACTTCGCACACATACTGCCACCCGATGGAAAAAGTAACTTGACACATCTCTGTCACTGATATGTCAATCCCATTTTTGATCAAACTAATTTTATATGGTTGAGGGTTCTATGTAGTTTCATTTGAAGGGATAGGACAATAGAACGAGAGACGATCTTCTTTGTACAGTCGATGTCAATGAGAAGGTCGCACAGCTTGCCATTAATAGTGCACCAGGTCTTGAAAATGGCATTCCGTTGTGACATGATAGCTTGGCAATGAGCTATCAACAACTTCTCAAGGATGCACAGCAGCGGAACACCATCATCGCCTTCGACGTCTTCAAATTCTTCATCTTCTCCGGTATTTGAATGATTCAATGCCTCACCCTCTTCGGTTTCTAGTAGCTGCAGTTGTTGTCATTGGGGGCATTTGTTGGATTTGTGGCCAAGCTAAAAATAGCAGAAACATTTTAAGGATGACGGCTTAGCATAAGGATTGTTCGGAGGTGCAGTTTTTGCTTTGGGTAAGTTTTTGTTCTCTAGGCTTTGAACAATTAGCCTTCGTGGTGGAGACGGGGCATTAATAGTAGATTTGGTAGATGATAAAGCTCCTTTATTAAGCTCATGTGACATGTCCAGGGGCGGCCGTTGAGGGTTCACAAACCTGGGAGCTCGATGCTGCTGCATTTCCACTTTTAGAGAAAAATTGATCTCCTGAGAGAGCGACCATAAGGAGTTCAGTTCTAACTTCTCCTGAATACTATATTTTAGTCTGCCAATGTATCAAGCTACTAATTGGTTCGTGGACTCATGCAAATTATTCCGTGCACTGAGTTTATGAAACTCCTCTTTGTACTCGTTGACAGATCAATTTCCATGAATACATTGTTTGTACTTCATGCATAAGATTTGTTCATAATTTGTGGGCAAAAATTGAGCACGCAAAAGCTTCTTCATCCGTGCTCAGCTGCACACGAGTCCTCTTCCTTCTCGCTGGCGGGACTGTAAGAGCTGCGTCCACCACGCGCTTGCCCCGCTTTGCAAACGACAGGCAACATATTTTACCTGTTTTGTGGGATCTATCTCCATATATTCAATAAAAATTTCAACGGCCTTTTCCCAATCCAGGTAATCTTCTATGCGTAGATGCCCATCAAAGAAAGGTATGTCAATTTTAACCTTGAATTCAGAGTGTTCCCTGTAATGCACTTGACATCGTCGGTGTCTGTGTGTTTTTGTAACATGACACAGTTCTTCATCTTCCTCGTCCGACTCCAGAGGTTCATCCTCTAAATCAGAAGGATCAGGAATGGGATGGGGATTTCAGCGCCCATTCTGTTCAAGGCCCATACCACGTCGCCCCCCATTACCCGCCAGTAGTTCTGACTCTCGACGTAGCTGATGGGGTGTGTTCCTTGCACGGTTGAGATTGAACTCACAGCGCACATCGATGGAGAGGCGTTGTACATCTGCTGACAACACATCCAATTGTCGTATGTTGTTGTCCTGGCTCTTCCACAATGCTTCAAGACTCCGAGCTTCATCGGCCGCTGGTTCCTTGCCTCTATCAGTCATTCTACTTGTTTGGCTCTAATACCACGATGATGCAACCCCAGATCGGAGACCTTAGGCGACTAACCTGCAAAAGAACTTGGAAACAATGCAAGCCAATGGAATAGTAAAACCCCAGGAGAATTCCACGCCCAGGATGAGCTTCTATTGAAGAGGAACATAAAGTTCTGTAAAAACAAAGAGTCTACCCTTTCATGGCTTCCTTCGGTAGTTTATAAATTTTCCTGTTCTAACAACCAAAAAGGTGAAATAGTACTGTAGATAATTGAATAGGGAAAAAGTGATATTGTGAGTGGTTGCCATATAACGGAATGTGAGGAATTGGCATCTTCATGCCATGCACTGCATCAAGAATGAAGAGAGAAAATGCACTCACTTACAAAACGACATATAATAAAGCAACTAACAAGAATAAAAGGCTTTCTCCAGCCAAATCTTGAACTAAATCTATCACTCTACATATCAATAGTAGGCCCAACCTAAACTCATAAAAATAAAATAAGATATATAAATGATCTTCATGAGAAAATGAAAGTCCATTGTATGAAAGCAAGTTATATGAATCACTTCCCCTTGTGTGAAAGAAAATCATATGAATATGAGTACTCAAAATAAAACTTATTATTTTTCGGGTCGTGTCTTTAATTACACCCATACTAAATGTCCCCCATAGCTAAAGAGGATAAGATAAAGAAATGAATTAGCAACAGTGAAAAATATATTAAGAGATATTGATATAAAATATAATGGATTGCGAAATTTTTAGATTTATATTGACATCAATATAATTCTAAATATCGTATACAATACTAATCTTAATATTAAAAAAATCTGCTGCATTGTTATTAATCAGGAAAATAATCAACCTGCAATATATTCTTCTGGTGTGAAGAAATTGGGATATGAATGACCGAATGATAAAAAAAATCAAATAAATTTATAAAAGCAATCAATGTACATATATAAGCAAACATAAACAGTTGAGATTAACATAAATTTTTAAA